TCCCAAAGATCCTCTCTACAGATCACTCTTGAAGGAATCAACACATCCCCAAGATCACTCACTAATAGCACAAGAAGAGGATTACAAACAAAGATTTCTCAAATATCAAAAACTCAAGTTAAAGCTCATGTAGGTACGTAAAGATATTTAATACAATGCTCTCTAAACTTCTTCACATCTGTTACCAACCATATTTATAACCCCTTGCTTGAAAATAGCCATTTCTAACTGTTGAGGGTCATTAAATGCCCTACAGGACGCGAAGCTCGAGTTGTAGGATTGTCAGGACAGCCGGCTCTGTAGAGCCGGCTTAAACTTCCAGAGCCGGCTTTGTGGGATTCCTGCACATTCTATTTTCCTCGAGAGCCGGCTTTGCAACTCCGATTTTAAATACATTAAATAATCTTCAAATGACTCGACCGTTGTGCATTAAATGCACCCTCACAGCCGGCTGCAAAGCCAAAGTCGGCTTTGCGTCTTTTCTCCGCGCGCGCCAAACAACGGTCTTCAAATTTTTGCCCGTAAAGCCAGCTGCAGCTTCCAGAGCCGGCTCTCTACACTTCCATTCACCAGAGCCGACTTCACTTTACCAGAGCCGGCTCTCTGCACATTTTGAATCCTTTTGGTTTATTTTTAGTGCAATCCAAGTTTACTTGCAATCTTTTAGCAACTTAACTACACACTTAAATAAATCAATTAGTCACTCAAATGTGTTTTGTAATCATCAAAATCATAGGTACAACAAATTTCTGTTGAAATAGGGGATGAATTTCGATAGCAATTAGAACAAAATTTAAGTTTAATTCATGTAGAATTTATGTGATTGGGTATTAATTGGCTGCTGTGAGGTTCTAGAGAAAAATCCCTTGAATTAGCTATTGTTTTGCCAAAGTCGGTTCCTCCATGTTGTTCGTGAATTTGGAGAATTTTGTATATGTGTGTTTATTTACATATATATAAATGCACAATCTGATTTTTGTGCTCAAATTTCGAATAGAAAAAAAATAAGGATAAATAAATAAATAAATAAGATTTCTTTATGGGATTAATGGCCGACAACAATAGGAGGGCTTAAATGTTTAGTTTATATTGAGTATAAAATTGAGATGTCCGGTCATATGGTTATTAATTCTGGAATATTTTGGTTAGGTTCTTGATTATTCTATCACCTTAGCACTTGGAGTGAGTTTTTTGTGTTATGCGATTGAGGTAAGTAAATTATGGTAACGTCCTTCGATTGTAAAGTAAAAGCATATTTTAAATTGTTTTTGAGATGGTGGCAAGGTTTAAATTGATTTTATTAACACCTGAGCATGATTAGAATGGAAATGAAAATTTTTATTATTTTTGGGGTTGAGCATGCCCACATGGAATTTTTCCGGTTTATTCTTGAAATTTGAGATTGATTATGAATTATAGATTTTTCCTGTAAATCCTACATGGTTTTGTCTCTAATATAGTCATGATTACTGATGCCCACTAATGGGAGTTTGCAAACGCTAGCACATGTCGACATGTATACCGATAGGACCAGTTCATTTTGTAATCCTGCCAATGGGATAATACATTGGTTATTATTGACGCCTGACAATGGTAGTTTGTTAAACACTAGCCATGACTTATAGATGAGATTACTACTGAATCTTATTTTGCAGTAACGGTTTATCATTGAATGCTTTATTATGTTAAATTGTTTATCAGGCATGCTTAAATTTTACTCACGGGCTATCCATATTTTTTACTTACTGAGATATCTTATCTCATAGTTTTCCTTGTCCTCCATTTCAAGAAGTGAGACCCGAGGCATAGTTAACCAGGGGGAGTGATGAGCTAAAAGGCTAGTTAGTATTCTTGACTTAGATCCTTTTTGGACTTAGGCCGTCAGCCACACTTGCTTGACATAGATGTGAAATGATAAATCATTTTTTTGTATACTGAGTTTTCCTTGGTTATAGTCATGACTATCTTATAAACTTTTGTACATCTTGACTTGTCACGCCCCAGAACCCAAATCCGAGGACGTGGTAGACGATATACACTTGTGAGAGGGTCCCACAAATGCACAAGGCTCGAAACTTATCATACCATACTCTAATACCACAAAATCTGAAGATAAAAATTTAAAATTTGCTCTGATATCATAAAATCTCCAAATAAAGTCTAGCTTACAAGATCATAATTTATATTTAAAATCTATGTTCAATTTACAAGATGGCTAGCCTTCTAACTCGTCTCTGCCCTTGTTTTTCCCCGTCCTTAACTTCTCTTCCTAAAATGGTGGATAAGGAAAAACTAGGAGATAACTCAGTAAGTAAATATGGATAGCCTTTAATTAAACTTATAGCATGCCAACAAGTATAATTACGAAAAAATAGGTACGAGTACGGAAATGAAATAGACGTCTCTTCTATAGCTCATGGCCAGTGTTATAAACCTCCCATTGGCAGGCACATGATTTACTAGTGTATAATCCCACTAGCAGGATTACAGAAATACCAGTGTTTAACAACTCCCACTGGCAGGAGGAACCGGCTCTACAGAAATACATGTCGACATGTGCTAGCATTTATAAACCTCCCACTAGCGGGCACACGAATAAATGTAAAACAGACGACTTGACCCAAGTGCTAGGGCAACCAATGATTAAGAACCTAACCAAAACATTCCAAGAATTAATAACCATACTACCACGAATCTAAAAGAAATCACCATGACTACCCCCTAATCATGACGCCATTTATATCAACATGTATAACTCACATACTTCACGAGATTTTCTACTCCGAATAATTGAAATTCAGTGTATGAACAGTAACTACCCGTGAACAGTATCCGTTAACAGTATAATGAACAGCAATTACATAATGAACAGCAATTACATAGTGAACAGTAACTGCAACTTCCAAAAATTGGCAAAACCATAGTTAATATCACAAGATTTTTCTCCAAAATCTCACAGCAATCAATTAACACTCAATCACATAAATTCCATTTGAATTAATGCTTAAATTTTGTCCAAAAGCTACTGGAATTATCCCCTAATTATTGCATAATTTCGGACAGCATAGGCAGCAATTTAAATGGATAATTTGGACTTAAATGGAGCTATCACATACCAGGAATTTTCAGCAAACAAACCAGAGCTATAGATTGGGGAAGGTTGACGGGAAGTGCAGGGAGAAATTCGGGATCTACCCAAAAATTGGAGAAACCAAGGGAAATTAGAGTAAACCCAAGCCAATTCAAGGAAGAACAAAGGAATTAGTGGCTGTTTCTTACTAGAAATTTGAAGAATTCACACCCACGCAATGAAGAGCAGCAGATGGAAGTAACAGAGCAGAGTAGATTCGGAATTTCTCTGCAGGGGGGAGGTTTCAAGGCTCCAAATCTTGTTCTTGAACAAGAAAAGAAGAGAAAAATCCAAGCTTCTACCAATTTTTCTTCAAGTGAAGGTGCGTCAGGCTTGGCTGGGTTCTTGGTCAGCTGCAGGGGAGAGGAAGAGCAGAAACGCACGAATAAGGAAGAAGAAAGAAGGAAAAAATAGTTGATCCTTATCCTAATTCTTTCCTCTTTTAAGTCCCTTGAGTTTTGAAATATTCACTATTAGGCCCCAAACAATATTTTTCCCAAAATAAGTCCCTAACTTAAATGATAAAATTCTCGAAAATTTGGGATATTACATTCACCCCTCCTAAAAAGGAGTTTTGTCCCCAAAACTCAAATTGAGGATCATTTCGAGTGGTGAATGGCTTCACACAATTCGAGACAAAACAAATGCCTCACCAACTCTTTATGAACAGAACATAGCCTACTACGCTTTTGTTGTACCACTCTGATATCAAACCACAACTAATCATAAAAGCAGAACATTAACTACTTAACAGGATTTACCATGAAATAAACTACTAGAGGCTGGGGTGATATGGGAAGCACAAGGAATAGAAATAAATCCTGCCAAAGCCACAAAAGAACAATTGTGGGGTTACGCTATGAACCCAACACAAAGATGAGTTGGCAAAGAATGGAATGGATTTAAAGACGAGTACAACAAAATTTTGAACTCTATCAAAGACGGATAAGCATTCAATGGATATATGGATCATGAATGAATGAACGAGTTCATGGATGCCTTATACACTCTACCACAAAACAAGGTTAACCAATAAGATCATGTTTAACAAAACAACTAGAATTAAGAGACAAATTTTAGCAATTAATAAGAGTTAAAAGCTAGACCCATCAAATGACACGTGAAATTTCCAAAATAGCATCAGAATGAAATCAGTGAAAAATATGAATGCTTGGAAGAATACTGGAACATAAGAGTGCAAGGTAGAATGCCTCAAAAAATTCAGCAACAAAACGGCATTCACCAAGAATCAAGATCAAATTTAACTAAGCAGTCAAAATTGAGAGACAAGAGTTAATCATGAAACAAGCAATAGAATTCAAGGATTAGGCCCACAAAAGAGATTTCAATAATGACAACCAAAACACGAATTCAAGAGCAGATATAACTAGGATGTCAAGATCTAGCACCCCAAGTAACATGAATTAATTAACAAAACAATCAATAGTGGGGATCAGGATACTTAGAAGATTACTGTCTTCTAATTAAAAGGGCAAACAAAATCAAAACAGCCAGATAAAATAACCATTTCTCTTGGAACAAAACTCTAGGGCATTAGGTACTTCCAAGACTACCCTTCACCTCGTAGCCCATGGAGGCTAAGCAGATTTACAATCAAGTCATCCTAGACATCCTAGAGTCAAGTCAAAGCTAAGACATC